ACAAATCAAATCTATTATTTGGAAGAAAACTTTTTGATTTTAGGTAACAGAACTGTATATTTCAGCTGTACAATAATGTATGAACTAATCCGGTCTCACTTATTTACCTACATTTGTCTAGTGTCAAATCAATCATAATGTAATTCTATGGTATTGATGGGAGCCTGATTTAGCACTGCTTTGGGTTATCAATCCGTCACATGAAGGATGGTGATAGGAGTATTATAAATCTAATGTATCACACTCTAACTTGAGTCAGCTTTGACACTTGTGGTTTTTATCTGGGTAAGAAACACTAGCGATGAAATAATTCGGAATGAACATTTTTATCTTATCTCCAACAGATTTTAACTTTTGAAACTAGAAAAACAAAACTGGCCCTGGTGCATGATCATCACTTAAACCATTATCCTAATGGGACCCCATATAAATCTAGAATGATCCAAATAACCGACTATATGTACTTCAATGTGACGAAGCGATGTGTTTTAACAGATACATTTCATCATAATGAACGTATTAATGACCATTGCTCTCTAGTTATGTAAATATCGATTAACAATTCATTTATGTAATGTGATAATTTGAAATGAAAGATAGCGTTATTAGTTCTTTATTTATTAGTGGCGTCGCACATCCTATATAACTCATTGTATTAAAGAGGTGTTGATCAATAACATAAATTAAACCGAATGATAAAAGTGTCTTAGATTCATTTAATTTTACTTAATCAAACAATGATATTGAATAAATACAACTACCTTCACAATGTTGTCGAATTATTTCTTGTGTATGTATTGAATATCTCATCTTATTCCAAATTTGTCTAAATTACAATACTGAATATTGACGTTTAATGTTATCAAAAAGTAAGTGTTCCATCTATAACGAACAAATTAATTCAGATTTCAACAGAAATTTAAGTTTATTATTATTGTCTTCTGTGGTTCTCTGGTCATTTTCATTGGCTTTCACTTTGAGATGACAGTTATTGTCAAAACATGTACTGTTAGTGCATGCATATTCTATATACAGAGCAGAAATCAGCTATTTGTTCTAAAAATAAGTGCTAACATATTCAATATAAAACGATAAGAATAACTAATTAATGTGTAAATGATAAAGATTGTAACTTTTTTTACTGTATGTACAAACAGTGGGTCACAAAATGCGTAACGAAGACAGTCTATTGATCGGTTTCCATAGAATGACACAGTATGATACTTCCCTGCCTAAGAGTATTTCCAGAAAACTCTAATAGACTATAAATTCAATATTGGTCATCATTTTCATTTACCTATTACAATGGAGAGAAGAAAAATGACATGTTTGTGTATAATAATCTCTTCTTTTGTTTATATTCAACAAAGATTTTTTTTATTTGTTTGTTTATTTACGTATTTATTGAATAACTGAAGTATTCCTCCTTCTTTTCAGTTATATTTCATATTGCCAGAAGGAAACTGAGCTCTTTCTCTCTCTCCTATTCTTAACATTATCGGCATAAACATGACCATCATCATTCTCACCATTCTTAACTTATAAAGTCTCTTACTCAGGCTGAAACGTGATTTTAGATCAAATATTATCTGAGAATCTCACCTACTAAGTAGAAACAGCAGGAAATTGAAATTGATTCTTTCATCATTTAACAAGTCTGTGGGTATACATATATATATATATTCATTCACATCAAGTGTATGCAAAGCCTGAGGGCTAAGTTAATGAATGAAGTGAGGAGAAATTATTTTATTTTGTCCACTCTTCTTGACACAGATTGGTTAATCATATTAAATAATAATTTTATTTTCAAATTATTATTATTATTATTATTATTAGTAGTAGTAGTAGTAGTAGTAGGGTGATTTCATAATCTTGACTAATATCCCTATAGATAATACAGAAGATTGTAATTAATTACACATGAGCGAAGAAGCATTGTTTTATTAGTTAGGCGTAACAATATATTGGAAAGAAAAAGAAATAATGAGTAAGAGTGTCTCCCCACTGATTAAAAGAAAAAAAATAGTTCCGAAGCAAACTACTCTTTTTTTCTTATTTGTAAAAGTTTATTATAGTCATTCAAATAGACATATAATGGATTAGACATGGAGATAAATTCTATCACATGTAAGTATTAGATGAATAGTAAAGCTTGTTTCTTCTATATTTTATCAACCACTGGTAAGTACCCTTCACAACTAGACTTTAAATTATACCGAACTTGATGGTTTTCTGAATAAAAGCGTACTTTGTAGATATCTAGGAATGATTCTTCTTGTGCCTTATCATTTAAGCCAATTATATTTAGGCTCTAATCATAGAGAAAAAGCCGCCTACATAGTTTATTAAATTCATTTGTGTTACGCACTGATTGAAACTAATTGTCACTTATTTCGATTTGTTTTTTGAATTAATATGTATTAGGTGTAAAATTTCAAATCTCGGAGCAATGTAGTCTTAAACTGTTTGATAGTGATATTTACAATTGCAAGGCTTCGATCGTTTTTAAAGTGTAATATGGAAGGGGTGTTTAGTACACTTATTTATGTAGTCTTTGATAGATGATAAAACTTTGATAAGAATTATCTTCAAACTTATTTAAGCTATCTCCATGTTATGTAGAGAGGTGGCTTAATAAGTTAAAATTTTTATCATTTAACCAGTGACCTGCAGTTTCAAATATCATCTCAATATTGAATGGAGTAATTTTCTATTAATACTAGCATTCACATAAATAATGTACTTCAAAGCTAAGAGGTTGGACGTTTACTTGATTAGTAAGTTGTAATACTTTAGAGCAAACTAACATTAGCGGCTAGAACTATCAGTTAGGTAGACGGAGAAAATGTTATCCATTTTGTAACAAATGCTAGAAATGGTTACTCCTGTTTGCTTAAATTTTGGTCAATGATACTAATGATGTGAACAAGAACTCATGTAAGAGAAACTAATTCATTGTTTAACGTCAAACTACAGAGTGCTTTCATAATATATAAAAACCACACATTAAATATATTATTTCCATATCTTCTTTCAGTTGTCCTCAACATGCTTGATAATTCTTTCAATTCTATTGTTATACTAATTGCTCTCCGTTTACATTTCTGTTCTCTTCAATTCAATCTTCTGCTATAGGCATTCCACTTCTGATTAGTGTTACATACTACTTATATCTGTCAACATAAGTAGCATACACCGCACTTACAATTACCGAATATTACCTTAGAAAGTTGTATATTTTCCGAAAACTGCATGTCTTTTGCATAAAATACTAAAAATAATGTACATTTTTGCCATACTATATATTCTTTATAACCGATCTGTTGAATTCATAAGAACAAAGACGTTTCTGTGTAAGAAATGTTCTCTTCAATGATGTCCTTTCATTAAGCTGTACAATTGTATTTATAGGTAATTTTCTAAATATATTAGTCTATAGTAAAATAGTAGACTTTTGTAAAATTATCAAAGATAGTCAAATTAATTCAAGTTTCTAGTGTAAAAGTCTATGAAAATGAAGTGTTGAACCATTTAATAAATTAATGAAAAACTGTCAAACGATATTAAGAGTTGAGTATAATAGTCTATAAATTGAACAGAATGTTACTTCAATACAGTTAAAGTGATCGAAAGTTTCAAGTATTGAATAAAACTGATGTTGTGTAATTTAGCAAGGTGATCAAAAATGATCAAGAAATTAGGTTTTATTATAGTTTCAGAGGGAATAAGAAATAAAAATTTATACAATAAATGCAGAAAACAACTACCTACTTTACGAAGAGGGTGAAGAATAGGATAATAACTAGTATAAGATTTGTCGAGTTAAGAAGGATTCTAAGATTATGGAAGAATAAAGGATTGAGCATGATTCTTTTGTACAGAAGTAATGTTTGAATCAGTGGATTGCTACAGCTTTGATTATGCATAAATTCCTCGTCTAAATCCTTTTTGAGCGATTTCTATTAACTTTGTAGATGATGATTCCTGTGGTGGCATGTAAACAGAGTTGATCACATGTTGGAGAATTGAGTTTTCGATCGATTGCCCCCCCCCACTTCAGATATTCATGTAAGGTAGTGCTCGAATATTCTTTCACCAAGTGCTTGATTTGTACGATCAAATTTGATAATTTTGTAAAATTTCTATTTTACTATGGACTACTGCATATAAAAAAGACAAGCCATAAAAACAACACTGGAGCTCAAGAAAACGATATCGTTCAGAGAAAATTTTCATACGTGCCATGCCCCTTATCGCTGAAATTTTGAGTGAACGAATGTTCAGTAGTAGGATTCAGAAGAGTATCGTCCAGCTTCACAGTAAAAGATGTTACTTCTGAGGTATTTCGCCATGATTGACACCTTATACATTTAAAATGTTAGCACTTACTTATCACTAAGTAATAACTGATCGTGGATTATCTAGATCTACACGTTGATAGACAAATTTTACACAGAGGATTAGTAGGCAGCTATTTTGTGGATAACAAAAACCCTTAGTTATCTCAGGATAAACATAGGGCTTTCAACTGACGTCCAATGTTTAACAGTTGTTAATAACTCTCAGGCCGAAAGCTTAAAAACATCCAACCTGGGTGATTATTAAATTTAGAATAATTCTATTTACACAAATTGAAATATAGTAACTATGGAAGAAATTATGTATTCGTTTACAATATACACACTACTAATCAGTCATTGAATAACATTTCTCATAATTTATGCAAAGCTGTTAAAATGATGAATGAGAGTTTCAAGTCATAATGCAAAAGTCAACACCAAAAAAGTGGGTACATTCAACTGATAAGTTCGGAATTCCATTGCTAGACATACTACTCTAATGTTTAATTGTAATCTAATGAGATATATATTATATCACTTTTATTCAATTAATTTTCTCTCTTTAATTTATAAATTATTTTTCGAATATATAAAAATCTATTTTCTTTTATAAAAAAATTTATCACTAAAAATCTCTTGTTCATTTCTTATTTATAGGTATTGAAGTAAAGAGGTGAAGAAGAAGAAAAACAACAACAACAATCAAAGTAGAAAAGTGTTAGTAGTGTTGAGTATACAGGAAGTGCTATACACTATTATTATCTAATACACGCAATCATTTAAATGGTTTATTCAATGCATACAATGTAGCATATAAATGTTTAAGACATTTTGTTTTATCACATTTATTATAAACAAAAAAAAGAAAAATAACCGGATGACATTCATTAATAATAATAATAATAATAATAGAGTTTATTTAAAAACAATGTACACAAATTAAGGTGAACAGTGTGATATAAGTAATAATGAAAATAAGGGGAAAAAGTTAAGATACTATTTATATTTGCAATTAAGTGAACTCATTTTGACGGAACTTTATTTTGTAATAACTTAACCATTTTTAAATGATTGAATAACATGAAATAAATCTACATAGATTATATGAACTTATAATAATAATAATAATAATAATAATAATAATAATAATAGTAGTAGTAGTAGTAGTAGTAGTAGTAGTAGTAATAGTCATTATAGTTTTAACAGTAGGGTTACTAAGTAAAAAGAAACAACCGTATTTTCTTATAGTTTACACTTATTGTAAAGAATACACTTAGTTTTATCTGGTTGTTAATTTCCTTATTTAAAATTTTATAAATAATATCAATTCAATAGATTCAATGTTGATTTAGGCTTAGATAGTGTGATTAAAACATTGAACAATATGATTCTTATTTGAAAAGATGATGTTAATAGTATTATTTTATGATGAAGAAATGTTATAGCATGTAATTTTATGTAACTTATAATTATTTTCATTCTTTTTGAATTATGAAAGTGATTGTAATAGAAATTAGTGAAATGTTATGTTCTTTTCTATTTTCTTTTCTATTTTTTTTCTTTTCTTATTTTTTCTTTTTTTGTTTCTCTTTAATTTTAAATAGACAATGCGTGTAATGATGATTTTAATTACATTCCATGGAATACAATTAAAAATGTATAACTAAGTTGAAACATTAAACTTAATTATTGTGTTTAACATTCTGTTATGAAATAATTAATGATAATGGTGATTATTAAGTTAGATGGAATAAATATGAATAGAAATGTATATAGAGTTGTTATGTTATCTACAAAACAAAATTTAGTAGGTTTATTCATGTTCAAATGTTTATGTAAAACAAAAATAAACAAACAAACAAATAGATCAAGATGAAAACTTTTTTTCATTATACTATTTCAGTATTCTAAAGTAAATTCATTTCATATTGTTTACTTGAATCTTCTCAATGATCTTTAGTACTGCGATTGACTAGTCTATTACTGGTATATATGCATACTGTATGTATTGCCTTAATCCACAAGCACTCGAGTCTTGGAGTGAACATTATTATTATTATTGTTAATGACTTCAATCAATATTACATTTTGGTACAATATCGAATTCTCAGCACATCAACCCTAGGATGCAGGTATATCTAACTGACAAGTCTTAAATAGAACGGAGCGTGCATCCTGAATTCCACTGCTAAACATCATTGATCTTTGCTTGTAATACTTGTGAATTAAGGCAATATCGAGGCAATACACACAGTATGCACATATGCTAATCACAGACTGGTCAACTGCAGTCCTAAATAACAATGGGAAGATACAAGTAAACAACACCAAATGAATATAACTTCACCTCATTGCACAAGCAGGTGGCTATCAGGACTCAGTAGCTAAGTAGATAATGCGATGGCGTTTGACGAGTCCCAAATAGAACGAAACATACGACCTGTATTCCACTGCTAGCCACTATCCAACTTTGCTGATAATCTAATGTAAAGTTAGTATTTATTTGTTTACGCATTCACTATTATCGGGTACAGATATGTGTACATGGTTTCAAGTCATAATCCAAGATCAAACTGAAATAGACTGAGATTGTTGGGTTCAATCTTGGGACCTAATAGCTAGAAATTGAACTGCGTAACCACTGAACTACCGCTACCCAAACTTAGCGAAGAAATTTAATATATTTCTAATTAAAATAACTGGGGAAAAATTATCATTTAATTACAAATCTAAGTTTAGAATTAATGACCACCTACTAATGTTTAAGACAATGTCTAAAGTTTACTGACGATAAAAATCAGAACCATTGGATTTTCATTCAATAATCTAAAAATATCACGATTATTATGAAACTTAAAGGCTTTAGTGCTGGCGGGCGGCCTATGCTCCTCCACAAAGAGTAACAGGCGTAAGCAAGTAAAGGCTTTACTTCCAATCATGTATAAAGTTGTGAGTAAGCACCATTGAATAGACTTAAACTACGACGTAACATTTGTTCGAACCTTTTTACTTTTCATTGGTTTTCTAGATAATGATAGAAACTAATTCCAGACGGAACAAACTTTATATTATATTTTTTGATTGAGATCATGAACCGATTGATGTTAGACCACCTTTGGAAACCTGAAAGCACTGGACGGCCGTTTCGTTCTATTGTGGGACTCCTCATCAGTGCGTATCCACGATCCCGCTCGCGGGATTCGAACCCAGAGCCTTCGGTCTTGCGCACTAACGCTTAACCTACTAGGTCACTGAACTGTCATCCAATGGTGATAGTGTCTAACACCAACATTATATTGCATTAAAACGACTATTTTCCGATATCACTTTTACTATGTTTTTTTAAAACTTAATGTACATTCATAATGAAAGTTCATTCGAATAATGGGAGTTCGAAATAGCAATATATGGACATTTTTGTCATTTGTGTTTAATTTATGGAAAAAAAGTGATTGTTCTGTGACAGTGGTCACATATTCAAATTATATTATGTGTACTTATAAAAAGATATTAGATATCAGCTATTGAAAAAATAATAATTCGTCACTCAAAATAAACAACAACTGAATATTACCTATTTACTGTTTAAACTTTTTTTTAACCGCATAACACATCTTTATTGTCATGATACACTGATATAATATCCTAACCATAACCTTCTTGTCACTGAACTTATCACTCTGTCTTATGATCAATTATTTAACTGTCAATAAATAAACTAGACAGTGTAATAAATCATAATCATTTGTTGAATTATTGTGATAAGCATTCATTCTTGTATTATTTGTTTTCATTTAAAGAATTCGGTTTGTTTGTTGATTGATCCTTTTCAATCTTATAGAACTATAATGCCTTTTCACTGTATTTTCTAGGAATATTTGTATTACAAACTATCACTAACATCGGTTTTACCTTAGTTATCTTAATTCCATCTGTAAATATAGTGTCACATTTGCTTTTCAAGTATACATATTTCGTGTTCAAATTTCATGTGAATTATATAAGTACTTGCGTTTTTCTCTACAAGTAACATGTACTTGACCTCACTTCCAATGTTTTCATTTAATAATGACTAACAGTATTCAAGTATGTATGAATACCTGAATAAATCCAAGAATAAAATGATTTCCTTGTGAATAGGTCTATGCTAATTGAAGATTCATTGAAAAGTTGGAAAAATTGTATAGCTTATTTCAATAATTAAATTTCTAGTACTGTCCACTTATTATTATCTTTACATTGAAACTTAGAAATGTTAGAATTTATAAAAAAATCAGCTTATAGTTAACGTGATGAGTATGAATAGTATGAAGTACATTTTGATTTCAAGAGTTGACATCACGAGTCAATTGAAGCTATACCACCATGGAAAACCTAGAAGCACTAGACGACCGTTTCGTCCTAGTATGGAAATCCTGAACAGTGCGCATCCACGAGATCACTTCGTGTGATCCATGGTGGTCTAACTTCAATTTACTCATGAATTCAACAACTAAATTACTATAATATCCACAAAACCATTCTCTGATTATAAAAGTACATTTCAACCAGTGAAATTTCTAAAAAATCTCCAAAAAACCCATTCCGATAATAATCATCTGCTCACTAGGGACTGACTTCAGGAGATACTCCTGGAGTTTTAGTGAGAAGCCGTTAGCAGTGGGATTCAGTCGGGTCTGTTGTGAGATATCAACTCACTGAAGACAATGGTGTACGGTGGCGCAACTTCGTGGATTCGTTAAAGTTAGACATTAACACCGTTGGATGTCGTCCAGCTCAGTGGTCCAGTTGGTTAAGCACCTGACGCGAGGCTCATAGGTCATGAGTTCGAATCTCGTGGGGTGCGGGATCGTGGATGCGCACTGCTGAGGAGTCCCATACTAGAACGAGAAGGCCATCTAGTGCTTCCAAGTTTTCCATAGTGGTCTAGCTTCAATTGACTCATGATTTCAACCAGTGAAATTTCTAAAAGTATATTTGTTTTAAAGAATAATATAATGAGTAAATCATTTTATTCATCATTGTTAATATGCTCAGTTACATTTTAATTAACTTTATCGATATTTATATACATGTGTTTTTAGTGTTCATTCAATTTATCCATCATTCAACCATGATCAACCTGTTTCTTATTTAGAATTCAATTCATTCCCTTTAATTTTATTATCCTTATCTATTCTTATTCCTAATAATAATAAGTAATTCGTTACAAGAATAGTTAATAAACTAGATAGAAATAAATGAAATAAATCAGGTATTCAATTAATTAATCAAGTGAAAATGTGTTACGTAATGTTTTTAGCAGATTGCATTTTGGCTTCTTTTTCTTCATTTATTCCATTCATGTTATTTTTCTTTTTTTTCTTTGCCTCTCTCGTAATATGTTCTTCTTTTTTTCTTCACTCATATATTATACGTAAGAGAATAGATTAACTGAACTTACGCATTTATGAACAGATAAATTAATCATAAGGTCAATAAGTTCGATGAAGCAGATTATATATTGATGCATAAATAATACAAGTAATTGATTATAAACGTATCAATTGTATAAATTTCTGTATATATATATGTGATTATGACGAAATGTACTACAATAAAACAAATGAGATAGAAGTAAATACAGGGTTACTAAATTTATCAGATGTTTAATCAAGTCTAGTTTGTGGAAATTTGTTAAATAACATTACTGCCTTAATTAAGTGAGATAGAGTTGGTAGCTGATATCATCAATTGATTAGAAAATGGAATTCAATTATATAAAACAATTATTACAGTCTCTACAAATTCTAATGACAATCATCATGTGCTCATTAGCGACTGGCCTCAAGATGGATTTCCTCGAGTACTAGTGAGAAGTCGTAACCAGTCGAGTCCAATACGTGTTGTGTAGAGACAAGTATCTAACTC